TGTGTGTGTGTGTGTGCGCGCGCGTTCGTGTGTGCATGCGTGCGTGTGTGTGTGTGTGTGTGTGTGTGTGTGTGTCTGTGTGTGTGTGTGTGTAAATATAAGTGTGTGATAGCCTTTAAAGCTTTGGCTTCTTCAGTCAGGCTTTGCAGTTTCTTGCAGTTCTAAAAATGCCTGGCTGCCTGGCCAGATGACTCACACACCAAGCTCAGAACTCCAGCCAGGACTTAACACAAACTTCCTTGTGGCAAAAATACACACACACACACACACACACACATACACAAACCCACACGTCCAGACAGCCTGTATGCCTATAAATACAGTTCATGTGCTCATATAAAAGCATCTGCTCATATTCAGATTCAGCCAGGTGTGTGTAATCTCATCACTACAGCAGTAATCTGGTGTCTTCTCAAGGATTTCACAATAATCATTATATATTTATTTATCTTGTTCTGTGATGCCTTTTTGGCTTTGCGAGAAAAGTAACCCGGCACCGTAAAAGATGTCTAAAGAGCGACAAAGTTTTTCTTTTTTCTATTTGAGTAAGTACATTTTATACTCAGCCGCTGTATTACACAGTCAGTTGGGTCTGGCTGTTCTAATTTGGTGTGAAAGCTTTTGCAGCAGCCCCCCTTCTTTCAGTAATAAAACAAGAGGCTCTAAAGTACAAGAAAAGATCATGTTCAATTAGATCTTTGCACAGCAACCCTTATCAAAAACAACACAGAAATCCACTCTTGGCTGAGGGTTGCAGTTTCTTTTTGTTTGCGATGTGACCAAGARGAGTAGCAGAGGAGACTGTAGTGTGGCGTTTGGAGCAAATTCAGTACATCCTCTCAACTCCACTGAGATGATTTTTTTAATGTGAATAAATCATGCAAAAAGGTCCAACAGATGGCAAGCTGCTCTCTACATTGTATGTTGTCTCATAYATTTACTTTAGACTTTGTGTCTTCTTGTCATATTTTCACATAAGTGCGCAAACGTACACAAAGAAATAGACTAAATTGTTCGCCTGGTGGAAAAAAAAGACAGTTTGTTTGTGTGTTGTGCCGGTTTATGTTCTACTTAGTGCTCAGAATTTAAAGTACTTGCTTTCTATGCATTCCCTCACTTCATTGAAARCAAAAGCCAACATTTAGGCAGGGAGAATGTTTGAGGATTTACTCATCATTTTGCATAACCTGCAAAATAATGTAAAACAAAAATAGATCTATAGGTAGAACTGGTGCTGCTGATCCAATTATTTGTGCTGATTCATATGGGTTATCTTCTTGTGTATTCTAAAAAAATGAATGTGCAAGTGCACTGTTTGGCACATTTGTGGTGATTATTTATGTGCTTGTAGATGCTGCCTAAAAATTCCAAATCTTTATTTCAGTTGCTTTTAATATGTATCATAGTTAGTGATTTTAAATAGCCTTTGGGTCTTGATTTGTACCAAACAACAGAAATTTAGTCTAACGGCACCAAAAAAATGGAAATAATTTTGGATCTGACTTAAAACATGCTCGATCACAGGAAGTTTGGGCCAACTGCCAAAACTAGAAGAAGACATTATTACTTTCAGTAAAATTAATGTTTTAAAATCAAATAAATCAAAGCTAACCTTATTCAAAAAGTAAATTCTAAAGAGCAAGACTGCGATACAGTTTCCTCCTGATTAATTTGTTTTGTRAATTCAAACGAGCTAGTATTACTCTCTAAGTTTTGTATGGTACTCGATGTTGAAACTTCCAAGCTCTGAGTTGAAAAATCAAATWAAAAAAACTACCCTTAACTAGGAAAGTTACTGGCAAATTCAAACCTTAAAATCCAGTTTGGCTGCCTCATGCACAAAATATACAGGCAGATGCAGTAAAATGCATTTTTTTCTGTCACTTCTGATCTAATTACATCAGTAATATACTGTACAACCTGTTTCAGTTGGAGACTTTTAACCATATAGAGACATTCATTGTTATCTGTTTRTATTGTGCGCAATAAGTAGCAAATCACACAGGTTTTTGAGTTTTCAACAAGGTCATGGTTACTTTGGACATGATGTTATTTCCAGATTTCAGGTCAATCAAATGTAGCATTTGTCCTAATAACAGCATTATCACAGTCTCAAAAATCAGTCCAAACAACAGCATTCTGTTTTAGACTAAATCCAATAGATACCACGTTAAAACTGACTGGTATAATGACCAGTATAATGGTATAATGTATAGTGATGACAATGCAATCTAAATTTTTTTGACAAAAATCGTTTGACGTACTAGCAGGCAATGCAGTATGCAACAATACAACACAGATCAAAGGAAAGCTTTAATATAACTGGTCAAATTACAGTGTACATGGTTCCTACAGTTTAAGGCAAGTTAAGTTTAAGACTTTTTATGACTTTTTAATGCCTAGTGAAATTAAATTTAAGACCAATTGCATAATAAACACAAATGACAACAACAACAAAAAGAAAAACTAGCAGAAACTCATAAACCAAGGTATTTTTTGTTTAAGTATTAAAATATTGCTGATAGACCAGTTGTTTTTATCCATATATAACTATAGCAGAAACATTCTTAGCAGTCAGTTTTAAACCTAATTTAATTTCTGGAAATCCTCTAACAACCCMAAATTTGGAGTATTTGCGTAAAGTTGGATGTTTTAGGATCTAGAAAAGTGAATGCATTTTTGGAAAGACAACATTATTAACATATAACAAAACAAATTTCATATTGCTCAGATGGRCAGTTGTTGAGATATTTGCTTGTGAAATAACAGGAAGTGATGTTTGCATGTGAATATTTTAAGAAATACTTTTACCAATTGTTTTAATATTTGAAATGAATTACAGTCATCCAATGTACATTGTGTTGACATTTTTAAGACTTCTGAAAGATTGATTTAATACATTTTAAGGCCTTATTTTTGGACTGATGAATTCAATGCCTTTTAAGACTTTTTAAGGATCTGCAGGAACCCTGAGTGTAGAACTTCTGCTGCATCATTAAGCTGTTTTCTTGAACTAGGAAACTTTTTGCTGACTGCCACTCCACACATGATGGGGGGAAAAATACCAGAACCATAGATGTCTGGACAAAATTATGTCTCAAAGTGAAAAGTCAGACCTGCTGGGGTCAGTAGGAAAGGGCAAAGTGTCACCAAACCACAATAAATGTCTGCACAAAATGTCATTGTTAATGTTACAGTGTGTTATTTGAAGTTCAGGGATTTCAAATTGACCTAAAGTGGTGGACAAACAAACTGACTGTTTTTTGTTCTTCTATTTTTTTCTGGCAGAATGCGGGAACGGGGTCTTTGGATTTGCGGAGTAGGTGTTTGGAGTCTACTGCTATCACTTTGTCTGGCCTCCCTCACACATGCACACCGGAGCCACACAGGTAAGGGGTGTGTGTGTGTGTGTGTGTGTGTGTGTGTGTGTGTGTGTGTGTGTGTGTGTGTGTGTGTGAGNGTGTGTGTGTGTGTGTGTGTGTGTGTGTGTGTGTGTGTGTGTGTGTGTGTGTACTGTATATCTGTTTGTGTGTCTCGTAAATATTGCTGCCGGCCGGTGGTTGCGTGTTTACAACACCCCCAGTATTGGATCTCTTGTAGATTACCACCGCGGGGAGCCTCTGCAGCCAATTTCTTTTCACATGTTGTAAAGTTGTAGTGAATAGACAGCGTGCCACCCAAGGGAAGGCTGAGGTCACATCTACAATGAAATATGGGACCACAGAGGCAGGTCGCCAGGATCAACACTCACTAAACAGTTATATATTTATATATATATAAAATGGAATCTACATAATTCAGTTAGAGTCATTTAAATCCATGATGTTTTCTTGCATTATGCAGCCCCATTATTAYGATATAGTGACTCAATAAACATTCAGCGCAGACAAAGAGCAGTGTGTCCATGTGTTAGTATTTTCCAACTTTGATATCCGTCTAATGTTGGTCAAGTGGGCGGATCACTGCATGTAAAGGCCTAAAGTCAGATATGTTTGCCTCGTCGATTGTGAGTGATCAGATTTTGTTGAAAATCTCATTCCTCTATGGAAAAAGGTTTAAAGAGGAGCACTCTGAATGTGCCAGCTGTATACTAATCTGAGCTTTTTACTATATGTACCTGCAGCGGTATTGTTAACTTACATATTGTTCCATTTTTTTAAGCCAGCAGCACCAGCTTGACACCAGATCTGACCCCCACCTGTCTGCTATATGGGGATATTGTACAAGTGAAAACAAAACAAAACAAAAAATAAATAAAAAAAACAGAAAATTTAAAAATTACAGTTTGTGGAAAAACAGGTGTTTTCTTTGTTTACAATAACTTTTAAATTTGTTCTTGAACTGTAGTCAGAATCTTAAATATCTACAGGTGATTCATTAGTAGCTGGTTGGGGAAAAAATGGCGTTTCTTTTTTCCATTGAAAATAATTCATCTCAGAAGAGTGTACCAGTCTTTTGGCCTTCTGTGAAGAAATTGAGAACTTCTTACAATGTTCTTACTAGATAACAAGGTTCTTTATGGGATTTAATGTATCTGTACAGTAAATTGGTGTCCTTGCTGGAATGTGAGGACCAATGTGTGTGCATGYTTTGCATTTGATCATGGGTGAAGTTGATTCTCCAGTTCTGTGGCTGTCAGGTATTCTCACCAGCTCTCAAAGAAAGATTCTTGACAAGACAAGGACAAACACTTTCATAAAAGGAAGGATGTTAAAAAAGGATGAATGGAGAGAAAAGGACTCTCTCTCTCTCTCTCTTAGTGAGTTGCTTTGCTCGTGCGTTTATTTAGTGAAGTGCTGAGGTCTGCAAAAAGTCATGAAAACACTGAAACCAGAAGGTGAGACAAGAAAATAACGAAACGATATACAATGACATTTTTTTTCTTTTTCATGATGTCATTTATTTTGTTTTTTCTAGAGGCAGTTATGTATGTGAGCATGTGGATAGTATGTGTGTCCTCCCATTAATGGGTGATTGATTGTAGAGAAACTGGTAATWGGGGAGCTACAAATTTATACAAGTGCAGGTTGTTTGGTGGAAAAAAGCAGACATGTAATCACACAATTACTGATTACAACCCTATAAGTCAACTCAAGGTTAATACTTGTGCACACACAAATGTATGCAAACACACAGGCGGTAAATAAACACCTGTAGCCATAAAATACAAAATATTAAATCWATTGGACTTTGTTATTTTGAAGATCAGTGAATGACTCATGGAAATATTTCTACATTACTGTACTGTACATGTCACACATTGTGATGGTGCACACTACAAAGAGTAGTAGGTAGCATCCTTGTCATGTAATAAATTGCAGAAAACAGMCAAAAKGACYGAGATAYAAACCAATTWAAAAAGAAATGAAMAGCAAATCAAAAACAAGGTCATGTTTTATAGTGTAGACAATGACATATGGCCATTAATAAATGCTTAAAGTTCATTCATTCATTTCATTCATTCATAAATTTATTAATTTCATTAAAAAAACAAAGTTTTATGCACAATAAAGTTGAACATAATGGGGAGAACAATGGCAGCTTTGGTGCTGCTGGTGGACTTCACCAATAGAAGAATTCAACATGTTTTCAAGAAACAAACAGACCTGCTGCCACACAATACGTGGCTTATTTGATTTAGAGTCCCAGGGCTGTTCTTTTGGAACTCTGTTACTCTGAGGGAAACTAGGAGGAACCRTGCTTCACCAGTGCCAATTCAAGGCCTCAGCATGTTGGGTTTCTCACAACCAAAGCCTTTCAGAGGGTGCAGCCCAACATATTGGGAACTTTCACAGTCGTTCCTGAGTTGTGCCATGAATTTCCCTAAAAYGCACAGTGACTCATTGATGTCAGAYCACTTTTTTAAATCTCAGGGAAGAACTGGAATTCGAATCATGTTTCATACCAGCTGTTGCCACCTTCTGCCGCTCCATAGTTTTTTTTTCTTACTAACCCCAAAGGAATGACTACTAAATAAAATTTTACTGCTTGCCTCCACCTTTGATACTACATCTATTAATCATTCAGTAATTTTATTTATTTATTTATTTTGCCTTACTTGTTTAATTTACTATGCTTATTTGGACACATGGTAGAAGTTTGCTGTGTATTTATACTGATGGGAGGAGCAAGGTGCTCCAAGCTGCACACATGCAGTTGTGCTCATTCGTGTAGAAACGTGCATGTGCATGATAAATCTTAATATTTTTTGTGCATACTTGTTTATCAGATTCAGTAAGAAAGCTGCACACCTATCCATACATGAGGCAACAGAGTGCTACAAGTCTAAGTAGTAAGTCAAAGATCTCCTTCGATTAAGACATCTTGCATGTAGGCAGTCTAGTCCCTGGTTAAACGTCTCAGTGGCTTTGCCAATAGTCTTGGCAAAACAGCTTGGTTTGGACTTTGAAGCAAAGCGGAACAGCGATTACGTTGATCACTTTACCACACACTGTCGAGTCATTGATTTTCAGTCTATAGGCTGCAGTCTCAATACATCCCCTTTAATTAGAGACTAGTGAAAACTGCTCTGAAATGCTTTGGGACTGCCAAGAAGAGGAGAAAAAAAAAGATAAGAGGACAGAGACATACGAGTTTACTGGTGCTCTCACAAGCTCAAAGGAACATGTGGTCAAACACACAGACAGCAATGAATGCACATGCAAACCCATACACACACACACACACACACACACACACACACACACACACACGTGCATGCTCAAAAAGCCTCTCTTATGTGATGTGTGGAGACAGGTTGTCTGCCCTCCTTAGATGCTGTTCCACACTAAAGCTGCACTCCGTGCCGGGTCTGCATCAAAGCTCCATATGGCTTGTGAAAAATTCAAGTTTAAAATTACAAATGTGAAATTTTTCATGCTGACAAACATCCCAGCAATCCCTTGCACTTTTAATACACTGGTCAAAAGATGGAGAAGACATGCAGAGTTATGTATACAGTTGATAAAAGTCATCTGGATCACAGTGGGGTTTTTTGTAAAACATTTTATGTTTTTTTTTTCTTTTTTKCTTTTACAGTGCAGCAGAAGAGGCGTTTGAATCGTTCGTTGCACACATGTAAACATACTATTCACAGTATTTAAACAAGTAGCAAAAAGTATTGTAATTCAACAGGACAATCTCAGCTAAAATATTAAAAAGCCAGTAAAATGCCTGTAAACACACCAGTAGTATGACATAAAGTATTTTGAAACAAAGTGAAATATGTGCATGGGGTACAGTTTAGAGAGGGATTTGTTGACAGAATAAAAACTTGGTTTCAAATATTAGATACTGAGGTGACTTTGACAACATGGAGTCTCTTGTGTAACACAATTGCCAACAAATATCACCCAATACACTAAAGGACTGTTTACTTCCACCCACTTCTCCCATACATGATGGTTCAAGGCTATATCTTTGCCATCTGGTATCAAGACATGCACCATAGACCAATAATATTGTTTCATTTTCTACTGTTTTTTTGATCAAAAGTAAACTAAAAAAATAACTAAAACAATAGAAGAAAAGAAAATGTAATAAGCAGACTTTCCCTCTACCTGGTATCCCCACTGGTCTTTAACAGACCAGCTGAGTCTGCTGCAGCTTACATCCACAACGATGATGGAAGTGGGTCTCTGTTAACCTAAGAACAATCTTTAAAAAGTGTTGGTATATTTTCAATGTTTATTGGGACAAATGAACAAAAAACACACATTTGCAAGGATTCTCTGCAGTAGTGTGCCAGGCAGGGTTGCCAGATGTGAAATTCTGAACTTTTGTACAGTCATGAAAATATGTTGATCTGTATGTGCTGAGTGAGGGTGTTGTAAGATGAGGTTTGGGTTGTGTTTAGTGAGCATGTTCACAGAAAAGGAGAGGGAAAAACATATTTTTCTGTTTATCTTGCAACCCTGATGCCAGGTTCAGCTGCATGCAATGACATACACATGACTTATACACTACCGTTCCTTTGGACTTTTGTTGTTGGATTTCCTCTTACATGCTGAAAACAGGCGAGTAACACAAAAACCGTCTGCTCTATGTCATTTGTTGTAACTGCCAGTGCAGAAAAACGTTTGCCTGCAGCCGCCTGTCTGTGTGTTGTAGCACCTGCAAAGTATGTCTCACCTCTGTGGGGGGTTCTCCCAAAAACAGTGGCGGGCCGAGCATTTCACACCAAGGCCTTCAATTAGGAGAGAACAGACCTGTCGGACGTGGAGAAGCAGGGGGTGGTGTGTGCTGCTGACTGTGGTAGAAAGAGCAGGGAGGGAGAGGCTGCCAGCTCTGAACGTAATAAGTTTATAATAAAAAAATCTATAAGCCAGTCCTACAGGTCTGTATGTAAAACGGGGGAAACCTGTCTGATTTACAGACGATCTGTACAACT